AAAAAATATTTTTTATTTAAATAAAAAAATGCAACAAACGGGGGTTTATACATGTAGTCTAGCAAAGAATAACCAGCACAGGACACAAATATATTTTGGGGGTGCTTTATTTCCTGGCAAGTATGGTGTCTGATCTGTTTTGTTAGTTTGGAAAATATTTTTTTTTAAAAAACAGAAGAAATGACATATAATGATATTGTAACTCTTCGGAGTTCACATGGGCGCCCTCGCCCCCCCCCCACTGTCGGGGACTCGACAGGGACCCAGCCTCTTGAGCCAAAGGGAAATCTCCCGTCAGCCCGGCGGCTGCGGGCCCTGCCATCCACAGGGAAGGGCGGTGACGTCACCGCGCTGGGAAGCGGCTCTCGCCACCTGCAATGGAGGCCGTGTGCGTTACACTATTTTTGCTACACAAATTACGGTAGTGGCTCTTTCCACCACGAGGGAAGACTTTAGAAACAGATTTTAGTTTTACGGTGTCGACATTCCATCTACAACCGCTACAAAATCGCATCAACACTGAACAAAAAATAAATTACATTACAGTTGAAATGTAAACAACTCACCACGCAGCTTGTGCAGAAATAGGTCACCTCTCGGCTCTACGCTCACTGAGAACTACATTACAACGATAATTAGTGTGAGACTTACAATTGCATACACTTAACAAACGGTGCGGTACCCACTTCACAACTAAACATAAGTCTCTGTAAATAATAAAGGAACAGAAAACACAAGGAACGTGTGAAACACACTACTTACAAATGAGTTAACAGTTATTCCTCGCCCGAGTAGACGAGTAAAAACTGGCTACGGCCTCAGTCCACTCGGTTAAAATCTAATATCCATCTTGCTAATCTTGTCTCAATCCTATGAAATACCCCTTTATACTCGTCAATACTTTTCATTTGAGACCTCATTTAGGGTGTAAATAGGGAAACAACACAGTATTTACCGTTACAACTCTGCAGAAATGTCGTTTTTTTTAACCTGTAAGTCACTGCGCAGAACGCTGAAATTAACGATCAGGAACTGAGACACACCGCGATCTAAGAGGCAGCGCCATCTAGTGGATTTGGCATAACAGACAGCTATTCAGCACTAGGTCACATCCGTACGAATGTACAGATGTCTAAACACGATACAAGAAGGTAGTGTAACGCAACGGGGGCTCAGGCGGGCGCCCTTGCCGCATCTGGTCGGCCCCATCCCGACTGGAGGCTCGAACCCGGGACTCCCGCGTCTCTCTGCAGCGACCTAGCCCCGTGAGCTAAAGAGAGATCTCTTCACAGCCCAGTAGCTGTGGTCCTGCTATCACAGGGAAGGGCGGTGACGTCACCCGCTCTGGTACGCCGGCTCTTACACACAGTGCTTGTCGGCCGTAAGCGTTACAGTAGCAACAAGTGGAAGAAACGGAGAAGAAAACACTTTGTCCGTAGTACAGAGGTTATGTGGTGTTAGAGGTTACATTCAATAAGTTTGTGCTTAAAGACTTTTGTAGACCAACTCACCAGTCTTATTTTTTAACATTTTCAGTGAATTACAGTACAGCTTAAACGCGTTAGAAAATTCTTTAAAGATTTCGGATTCTGTTTTACTCTCAGCGTGTGTACGTCAAATTTCGCACACGGGAGAAGAACGTTTACCATCACACGGACTTCTTCGTTTGGATTCGAGACACCGGGAACAATATTGTAGCGGCCTCGCCGGGCGCTGCGGCCGGGGAGCGCGGCGAGGGGCAGGGCGGGAGTCGTGGTGGTCAGGGCGGGGCCGAGGAGAGCCGCTGACCAGTGCGGCTGACCCACTGCAAAACGGGCGTAAAGTCTGGTGAGATCGCCCGGATTCGTGTCAAGAGTTCCCTGGTTTCGTACCCCTGTTATACTTGTGCTCAACTGCCACCCTATACCGGTGTAGCTATCCGAATAGACCCCAGTGTGTTGCTCTGTGTTAATGGGGTTTTCTCCCAGTTTTCAATAGAATTAAACTCAAGGTGCCCCAGTCAAGGCAGCAGGTAGCCTTGCCCTGTTCGTCACCCGAGAGAACTATTACCTCAGACATCTGTGGAGATGGGAGGGAGGAAGCCGAAAGCCCTGTCTCACCCCACGGCCTTGGGTGAAGAATGTGGTCCTTTTGTTTCCACTTTTCGCTGCACATTTGCTCCCTGAATATATTGGTTTATTTATGTCGTACACTTTGCCCCCTATGCCACTTTGGAGTAGTTTGTAAAACAATCTTTCATGGCAAATTGAGTCAAATGCTTTTTTGAAATTGACAAAGCAGGCAAAAAATTTTCCTTTGTGTTTTTGGTGGTCGTGTTTGTCTATCAGTGTGTGTAGGGTGTAAATGTGATCAGATGTGCGGTGATCTGGCAAGAAGCCAATCTGACTCTTGCTCAGGACATTGTGTTCAGTAAGGAAGGCCAGTATTCGTGTGTTCGGGATACTGCAGAATACCTTCCGCAGGTTACTGTTCACACAGATGCCCCGGTAGTTGTTGGGATGGAGTTTATCTCCACTCTTATAGATGGGCGTGATCAGTCCTTGGTTCCAGGCCTCGGGGAAACATCCGGCTGTCATGATGAGATTGAGGAGTTTGAGCAGGGCTTGTTGCAACTTTGGGCTGCTGTGTCTCAGCATCTCAATGGTGACTCCATCTTGGCCACAGGCTTTGCGTGGTCTGAGGGCCTGGAGTTTGTCCAGTAGCTCCTGCTCAGCGATCGGGGAGTCTAAGGGGTTCTGGTTGTCTTTAATAGCCAATCCAAAATTTTGGTCTGATTGGTTTGTATTTGGGTACTTTTGATAGAGATTTTCAAAGTATGTTTGCCAGATTGTTCCATTTTGGATGGCCAATTCTTCTGGTTTTGATTTATTTAAAATGTTCCACTTCTCCCAGAAACAGTTCTGATTTGGTGACTCCTCAATGTCTGCAAGTTGTTTGTTTATGTTTGTGTTTCCTTTCTTTTTCAGCGTGTTTGTTAAGTTTTACCGTGTCGCAGTAGCTGAGCCGCAGATCTGTGCTGAAGGACGTCTTCTCTAGCTCAGTAGGCAAGACCCCCTGTTGAGTGACACTGGAGGCCTGGGCTTGATCCTGAGGCGGGTGACCAAACCGCAGGAACCTGAACTTTCTGAACCTTTCTGAACCTGAAACTCAAAACCTTCTTCTTCACAAGAGCCTTTACTGAACTGGTTCCACTCTTCACCCCTCTGCTCCTACTATACTTAGTACCACCATCCAGCGTCTCCTCTGTGTATTGTAATTGTGTTTTATCTTGTGTATTCTTCTTATCTATTGTTGTTCTCATTCTGTAAGAGAAGCCACCCTTAAAGGCGCTATATAAAATAAAATAAATTATTAGTTTAGTATAGTGCCCCTTTAAAAAAAACAAACATCCTGGTTCCTTTTCACGTTGGCGAATGTGCTTTGCTCAAAAAAGAGCAGGAGTGGTTCAGAAAGTTGAAGACACAGATCCGACCGCCTCCCTGTCGCCGACACTGGCGGCTGAAGCCCAGGAGGCAGGAGTGTCGGCTGTGCCTCTTCCTCCTCCCGCGAGGGGACGATCTAGCCTTCCTCCAGCCCCTTGACCACCTGCCCCGTCGAGGGTGAAAAGAGACTCAGGATAAGAACTCTACTCCAGGAGTCCCGGCGAGGCCTGATTCAAGAGCGGTGCACTCTGCCAGGGGGGGATGACACTGGGCGTGAAGCAGGGTGGGGAGCAGTGCCGGTGCCCTGGGTTCAGGTCCTGTGGCGTTATCTGCATGCAGCTGGGATATTCTCCCGGTGTTCGTGTGGGTTTCCTCCAGATGCTCTGGTTAGATCTGTGGACCACAGTCCAAAGACAGGCTGGTGGGTTGATGGGCTTTTGGAACAAAACTGGCCCTGGTGTGAGAGTGTGTCTGTGTGTGCCCTGCGGGGGACTGGTGCCCCACCCAGGTTGTGCCCTGCGCCAGTTACTTGCCAGTATAGGCTCTGGGTTCCCAGTTAGAGAACAGACAGTTGACTTTAGGACAGCTGCTTAAACATCTTACACAACTAAAGGTGTTTAGTTACTTAAAAGCTTGTTTTGATTTGGGAATTCAGCCCTGTGGCAGGACTCTGAGGACCCTGAATATACCCTCCCAAACCAGTATTGTTCCCCAAAATGAAGTTTTTAATTTGAATTGACGCATTTTTCAGAAAGCGCTCGACCACGTCAGTCGCGTACTGCGTGTAAGAAATCATGAGAACAAAAATAAAAGACAAATCCCACCCCTTGGTATCCAAACAGTAAATCTTTATTTGCCATGTTGGGGGAGGATATTTCCCTGCTGTAATGTGATGGACCCAACAGCAGGTGGCAGCGCAGACTGTCGGGTGTGTGTTTGTGGCGCACGAGGGGCAGCCAGAGCCTATCTATGTGAGCCGTGCGTTGTGGTCCCAGCCTGGCTGTCAGGTTTGCTTAGTTCCTCCCAGACGGACATCAGATCCGTCAGATAGGTCTGGATCTGGAATGGACGGGAAGAGGGAATCAGCAGGCAGCTGCGCCTCAGTTTCATAATAATAATAATAATAATAATGTTGCTTTATTGGCCATCTACAATCTCCTGCATTAGGAATTCATCTTTTCACAGACCCCAGCTTGCTCTCCATGAGACACACAGACAGGGAGAGAAGCTGGGGGTCAGAGCGCAGGGTCAGCCATGTATACAGCACCCCTGGAGCAGCTGGGGTGAAGGGCCTCGCTCAGGGGCCCAATAGGGTAGAATTCCCCTGCCGGCTGTGGGATTTGAACCAGCAACCTTCCAGTCACAGACACAGATCCTGAGCCACAGAGCCACCGCTCCGCCCCACTGACCTCTCTCCTTCCTGTGGCTGCTGTGTTCAAGCTGCCGAATCGCGCACCTGTCCCAGAACCGATCAGCTGTCCAAACAGCCCAAGCCATGGCAGTTCAGAGGCAGCGCAGACCTGTCCTGTCTCCAGTGTCCGATCTTGTCCAGTCTTAGTTGATCACTACCACAGGGACTGAGAGACGAAGACCGGCTGGTACCCTGACTGTTGAAGAGGAGGGAGGGGGGTTCAGTACCTTCTGCAGCTGTCGGGGGGTGTCCTCCAGGGCGATGGGCTCCTCCCCAGTGTCCCGGGCCCTCTTGCACACGATCTGGTACAGGTTCAGGGTGGCCATCTTTATTGTCCCCAGCAGCAGGGTCTTCTTGGCTGCGGTGTTCTGGATGTGAGCCCATCTGGACTCCTGGAGGTGGATGGAAAAGGAGTGAAGAGTGTATCAACCCTCTGTCTTCTCGGGACCAGTGTACTATATTGTCCAGTCACTGTCTCCCAGTTTCAGTGTACTGTAGTGTCCACTCATTGTCTCCCAGTATGAAGGTATTTTAGTGTCCAGTCGGTGTGCAGACATTGTTTTCTGCCTCTTTCTGTCTATCTCTGTCTTACCAAGAACATGCTCTCTGTGTCTCTGTCTCTGTCTTACCCAGAGCAGGCTCTCTGTCTCTGTCTTACCCAGAGCAGGCTCTCTGTCTCTCTGTGTCTCTGTCTTACCCAGAGCATGCTCTCTGTCTCTCT